ATAATGTCTTTTTTCATTTCTGATTTCGTTTCTCAGAATCTTCTCTCTTTCTTAGTCTAGCTAAAGGTTTGTTGATTTTATCTTTTCAAAAACAAATTTTTGTTTTGTTGATTTTTTTCTGTTGTGTTTCTAGTTTCTATTTCATTCATTTCTGCTCTTTTATTATTTCCTTCCTCCTGCTGATTTGGGGCTTAGTTTGTTCTTATTTTTCTACTTCCTTGAAGTATATTATTGTTTATTTGTGATCTTTGTTCTTAGTTGATGTAGGCATTTTTTTTGCTATAAGCCTCCCTCTTAGAAGTGCTTTTTATGCATTCCATAAATGTTGGTATGTTGTATTTCATTTTCATTTCTCTCCAGAGCAAGCCATGTGCTCTTAAAGGCAATGCAAATGCCTGAAATGACAATGCAGAGCATCATTCAGTACATAATGTCATGGTACAAGTAGCATAGTACATAAGGAGAAAATAGGAGGTAAAGGAGATAATTAAAATAAGGGAATATGAATCTGGTGTATATTTTTGAAGACAGTGATTTGATATGGTTACCAAAAAGCTGCACAGTGAAAAGTAAAACAAATTAAAAAAGTAGAATCTTAACTCCTACCAAGTTTTGGTTCTTGCTATAGGAATATGTCTAGCTTATTGAATTAACAATCAAATTTCTTACTGGTTTACTCCTCTGTACTTCCCAAAACTTACAAAAAGTTATTGTAACTGGATTGATAAATAATGTGAATTATTTAAGTACTTTGGTATTTGACTTCCAGGTTGTGCAGTTTATATTTACTGACTGTCATGGAGTACATATTATAGATTCATGTAGAGACAGCATGATGTTGCCTCTATAGAGCTAGTTGTCATACCTATATCCCTAATCTTCCTGTATCCCATGTTTCTCATATTTTAAAGTATTACAATGATGATACTTATTTCATTTCCCTCTTTTCTAACATTCTGTTTATTTTAGTGCAGTCTGTGCCTTAGTTCTAGCATAATTTTGTAAGATACAGCCTCTATTTGATCAGGACTGATTTGAAACTGTTGCTACAGGTATCCAAAAGGCACTTTTGTGAAATATTTGGTCAGTATATGTTTTCTTAGTTTCAAATTCTTGCTTTGTCCTTGAGATCTTTGTTAAAAATTTTTCTCTAGATTTTGCTTCATATTAGGATTACTTAATGAAGAGGGTGAAACTGCCAATTTTTTTATCATTGGGTGATTGGTTGTTATTACTTGAGTCTAGGTTAATTCTTTCTTAGAAAGTTCAGGGATAGCATGGTAATGGAAAGATGTGGGGAAGAGTGAACTTTGAATTAACAAAGCCCAAGATGCCTTCTAGAATTAGAAAAATATATAACAATGAAAAAAAATATATATTTCTGAAATTAAAGCTTTGTTGAAAATAAAGAGTGGGCCTGAGAGAAAGGGTGGATAGTGATTAGAAGGCAGTTAAATAACTCAGTGTGGTAAAGTGACCGTCACATATGATCATATGTAAGTACATTTTGATTCTGTTGATTGATCTATATTGATATAGTCTTGAAAATCAAGTCTGTTTCATGTTAATGTTCAAGTTAGTAAGCTATTTAATATTTTGAGATGAATACTGAATCTGAAATGTCAAATATTGTAAGCAAATCACACAGCTAACACATGGTACACATAAAAATTCAAACTTGGGACTTTTTGACTCTGCGGTACCTTACTTTAATTTACTAGGTCAGTTTTAGTTCTCCTTAGAAATCTATTTTGGCCAATGAAATGCATTTTGCAAATACTATCTTAGCCTATAGCTTTTCTGTTTTTTGTTTTGTTTTGTTTTGTCTTGTTTTGTTTTTAAGCTCTTTGATTTTTCATGTTCAGTTTTTTTGGATCCCGTAAGCTGGTCTGTTTTTGCCTGGATGAGGATGTTACACTACAAGTTTAAAAAGTATGCTCCAGCAGATACTTAGAAGAGTTGGCTTCTAAACTACTACTACCTTATTTGCTTGGGCCTAAGGTTTCTCTTGGATAACCTTTTTAACCTCCTGATACTCTCTGAAACTATTTTTGCCCAACTATTCTAGTCTAATACAGTGATACAGTATAGTAGTATAGTACATCACTTCCTGAGGTAATGGTTTGGTGGAAAAACACAGATTTGAGATTGAGTAGAAATATCAAATAAGCATGTGGTTTTTTGTTTTTAATTCTCAAGATGAATCCTAATTTCTTTACATATAAGAAAAAATACTACTAATTCTTGAGGGACTATACTAAATGAAATGGTTTAACATGTCAAAGGCACATCTGGTATAGAGTGATGCCCAAGAAATGATTAGGTCCTTTCCCTTTTCTTTGGCTTCCAATCTACCATGCTGTCTCTGTGCATCCGCTTCAGTCTCACCTCTTTCTTCACTCTCATTGTCAAAAATCACAGTTAGTTTCACATCTTGATCTGTCCCCCTGAGAGTTCACACTGGGCCTAATCTGACAACTGTGTTGAACTTTATTGCTCATTAGAGGTGCCTGTCTCAAGTCCTCAGTGGGTTTAATTGAAAGCAAGACATTTAACATGACTGTCTATTATAATGGGACTTTTCTCTTTTAAGATTTTTGGTGCTTCCATTGCCTATTTCCCACATGGCCTCTGCTCCTCCACTTAAGGATTTCCATTTGTAGCCTTAATTCTTGTAAAATGTAGATCACCAGAAAATACAAACAGAATCATATAGATGAGAGATTTTTATAGTATTTATGTTAAAATAGATCATTATTGTTAGTTTTGTTACACGTTTTAGACAAATATAAATATCGAAAATATTCAGCTGCACAAAATAATCAAAGTAATAAAACAAAAAATCTCTTTGTTTAATTAGAAAAATTCATAGTAGTACTAAGTGCTGGGAATTTTGCAATAAGTGATATTCTCAGAAATATTGTAAACAGCATAGACAGAACATATCATTGAATGTATTACATGTAGCCATTTGTAATTAGATATTTGGGATTCCGTTTTCTTTTTACATTCTTTTTCATGTGTAAGCATTTACATTATGAATCACAGTAGTGATAGCCTTCTTCTTCAACTCTGGCAGATTTGAAAAGTAACCCTAAAGGAATCATCCATAATGGGAAGGGGGAGCATGGGAGGAATGGAGGAGCTTTGGATAGGGCAAAGGAGAGGGAGGGGAAGGGAGGGGGTATGGGGGTAGGAAAGACAGTGGAATGAGATAGACATCATTATCCTAGGTACATGTATGAAGACACAAATGATATTACTCTACTTTGTGTACAACCAGATAAATGAAAAATTGTGCTCTACTTGTATACTATGAATCAAAATGAATATTGATGTCATGTATAACTAATTCGAACAAATAAATAAAAAAATTAAAAAGGAATTATCCAAAATGTATAAAAAGATGCAAATAAAAAGATTTATTATTGTTTTATTTGTGTGTGTGTATATAATTTTTTTTTTCATTTAAAACCTGCTACTTTTGTGAAGGCCCTGGCCCAGTAAAGTCCATGAAAAAAACATATAAAAGGGACACTTATTCAGACTCTGGAATTTTCATTATCTCTTACTACACCTCTATAAGTCTATGATTTGTTTATAAGAGAAAAAAAAAAGGAAAGGAAATGGAAGAACAGAATGAAAAGAAAGGAACTAGGAAGGAAGGAAGGAAGGAACCAAGAAGAAACAACTAAATTTCCAGCAATAGAAGAATGGCCAAGATAATTGTGATAGATTCCTAAGAAGGAATGTTATGGAACAATAAAGGGGTAAACTACAGCTACATGTAATACATTCAAAATCTCCACCTTCATAATAATGAATTGAATAAGCTAGTTGAAGAAGGACATACCATAAGATAGTATAGGAAGATTTAAAATGTGTAAAATATTATTGGATATTTTTTCTGTTTATATACCTGTCACGATAGTACTTTTAACATACAAAAAGGTTATCTAATAGGATGGTTACCTCCAAGGAGAGGGAGGGAAATGATTAAAGACACTGCATAGGAACTTAGCCTACATTTGTAATGTTTAGTGAATGCATAAGTGTCAATCATATGATTTTCTACATATTTCTGTATAACTGAGTATTTCATAATTTCAAAAAAGGAGAATTCACTAATTTAAAAACTCAAACTTTTTAAGGCATATCATTCTGTCTTAAGAAGACAGTCAAATATTAATTTTAAAATCCAATTTTGAAAGAAAATAAGTTCATCCTTTTGATTATTTTGGAGGAATTGTTCTATATTAAATTATCATTTTTATATGTAAGAAATCATAAAGCAGTAAATTCTGATTTCTATATAAATTATAAACTATTGTTAATATTTATTTTTAAAAATTTTTTTTAGTTGTGGATGGACTGTTATTTATTTATTTATATGTGGTGCTGAGAATCAAACCCAGTGCCTCACACATACTAGGCAAGTTCTTTGCCTATGAGCTACAACCTAACCCCTACTTTTCAAGATTTTTAAAAAATATTTATTTGTAGTTGTAGTTAGACACAATACCTTTATTTTACCCATTTATTTATTTTTTATGTGGTGCTGAGGAGCAAACCCAGGGCCTCGCATGTACTAGGCAAGCGCTACCTCTGAGCTATGACCCCAGCGCAACATTTTTAAAGATTTTATTGGAGGACTTTCTCATATATTCTCTGAGGAATATTATTTCTCAGTTTACTTATGATATTGAGTATTGTTTATGTACTGTCAATTAAAAAAAGAAGAGCTTCTTGACCCCATAGCTGGGTTTTGTGTATTGTAGCTAACTATTATAGCTACTGTGACTGATGGGAATGCACCTAGTATTTTTGATGCTGCTGCTGGATGCTTTAATTCCAAGGTTGTGTGCCTGTAAGGATATCATAAAGGGGAGAACCTTATGGAAACTGGGGAATTCCCAATTGAAAAATTAGTGATTTTAATTTTTTTTTTTTTAGTTTCATTTTCATCCATTAACTTTATGGTTTACATTCTTGTATTTCAGGGAAAGGTGGCTCAGACAGCATGTATGTCAGCGTGCAAGCATTTAGCTACATCCTTGATGCAACTTTTGCTGGAAGCTGAAGTAAGGCAGCTCACCTTGGGAGCATTACAGCAGTTCAACCTGGATGTCAGAGAATGTGAACGTAAGAGAGTGAAACACCCCCTTTGCTTTTTTGTCTTACTTGCATACTCGCTTTTGTGGGGGGGGGGGAGTTTTGTCTTTAGTGTCCTTGTTCCTGATGGAATCAGACTGTATAGAAAAAAGAAATATTTTATGGACATTTAGAAATGAGCATATCAACAAGCTAATTTGAATGCCTAACAATGCCTAGACCTGTATTTAGTATGGAAGAGCTGTCTGGCCACAAGGAAGCTTGCAATCTAGAGAGGGATATAAGGCAGAGGTGCATTTAATAGACACCATTTAAAACCTGTTAAGTCCAAATATAGTCAAAAGAATGTAGTTCCCAATCACTTTGCTTTGAAATTTTATTTTGAAACCAAGTACATCTTATGTGCAAACTCTTTTTAGTCTGCAGTACAAGTGATGTATGCATTGATCAGTCAGAAATGCTTTCTGTTTGGAAAATAAAAAACTTTAGATAGTGATTTTTAAAATGTTTTATTTTTCTCAGAGGTAACCAGTTGCTCTATTGGTTAGTTGCTCTGTGACATCATCATTGGGGAACCAGACTCATTTTTTAATTTTCTGCTGTATATAGAATGTGGACTTTTTATCCTCATTACGTAGAATTACATAGACTCACCCGTGACAGGAAATTTTCAGATAAGAGCTTCTGAAAAAACCTTACATAGTATATTCCATAATTTAAAAGATAAGATGAACATGATTGGTTGAAAATTCCCTCATGATTGAGGAAAAAGTCTTAACTTAATTATTCAAGAAGCTTTAAAGTCTTCAGCAGGATAAACCAAAGAAAGCCACATGAAGGCATGTTTTGGTCAGGTTGCTAAATAAATGATAAAAGGAAAATTTTAAATCTTTTGAAGAAAAAAGGCATATAAGAAGTACTGCAAACTTTCTATCAGAAACAGTGCAAACTAGAAGGCAGTAAAATGATAACATTGAAGTGCTAGAAGGAAAAAAGAATTCTATCAACCCAAATAAAACTCTGTTATCCCAGGCTGAGGATGTAGCTCTATGGTAGACCACTTGCTTATTAGCATTTGTGAGGGAGGCCCCAGGTTCAAATGAAAATATTCTTCGAAAATTAAAAGTAAAATAAAGGTATTTTCAAATAAACAGAAATTGAGAGACTTTTTCACCAAAAATTGGTACCACAGCAAACCTAGAAGGTAATTTTTCAAGTTAAAGGGAAATAATGTTCTACATCAAAGCAGATCTATAGAGTAGACTGCATTTTTCAAAGATATCTACTACACAGTACCTTGTTTACCACATCTTTTTCTATAGCCTTAATGCTAACCCATTAAGAGGAGGTATCTAATCACCCTCCCCTTGGATCTAGACAAGCATGTAACTTGATTGTAACCAATAGAACATGGCAGAAGTAGCTGTTTGTGAATTCCAAGGCTGCATCATACAAGATGATGCAGCCTCCATGTCCTTGGTGAGATGCTAATGACAGCCCAGCTGCCCTGAGGCCTCCATTCTAGTCAGGAAGCCTATGTGGAAGAGACCACATTGAAGAAGGCCTGAGAGTATGGAGAGAGAGAGAGAGAGAGAAATCTAACCAATGACCAGTTGTCTCATTGATTTCTGCCTTTATTGCTTTCTTCTACTTAGTTTTTATTAATTTCTCTTTAGTTACTTTAGGTAGAAACTCAGATATGTTGAGGATTTTATTTTCTAGCATGAGTATTTGAATCTTAGAAATTATTCTTTAATTACTGTTTTAGCTAAAGTCTACAAATTTTGATATGTTATTAATTTGCGATGGGGGGGGGGGCAGGAATTGAACCCAGGGGCACTTGACCACTGAGCCACATCCCCAGCCCTGTTTTATATTTTATTTAGAGACAGGGTCTCACTGAGTTGCTTAGCATCTTGCAGTTGCTGAGGCTGGCTTTGAACTCGCAACCCTCCTGCCTTAGCCTCCTGAGCCACTGGGATTACAGGCATGCACCACCACACCCGGTGTGTTATTAATTTTTATTCAATCGATGTTTTCAGATTACTCTTGTGTTTTCTTCTTTGATATATTGGTTATTTAGAATATTTCCCAAATATTTAGACATTCTTATCGTTATGCTTGTATTGCAAATTCTAAGTTTACTGTCCTTTTTGGCCAGAGAATGTACTTCGCATAATTTCAGTTTTTTAAAATTCATTGAGACTTATTTTATGACCCAGGATATGGTAGAGTTTGCTAAAATTCTGTTTGCACTTGGAAAGACTATGTGTTTCATTATCACTGTGTGGTATATTTTATAAATATCAAATGGGTAAAGTTCGTTGATAGTGTTATTCAAGGCTCGTATAGTCTCACTGATTTTCTTTATACTTATTCCATCAATTACTGACAGGGTGTTGAAATCATTTTCATTAGTGGATTTCAGTTCTATCAGCTTCATATATTTTGAATCCCTATTAGTAGGTGCAAACATACTAAAGACTATTATGTCCCCATGATACCTTGATACCTTTATTATTACAAAATGACCCTCTTCATCCTTTAATATTCCTTGTTTGAAAAATCTACTTTTTATGATATTAATATAGTTCCACCCAAGTTTTTATGATTTGTTTTTGCATAAGAATATTCTTTTCCATTCTCTTAAAAAATATGTATTTTAAAGTTGTACCCAGCATATAGTCAGGTCTTCCTTTTTAATTCAGTATGACAATCTGTGATTGTTTTAGTTGAGTTGATTAGACCATTTATATTGAATATAATTTTTAATATGATTGTGTTTAAATTGACTATTATTTATTTTTTACTTTTCACATTCAAACTTTTACCCATTTTTAAGAAATAAAGAGGGAGGAAGGTGATAAACTAAAATATATGCACCTTTAGGGGGAATGATGGCCTGGGAGGAGCAGTGGAGAGAGACTAAGCAGCCTGAAGTACATTTTATTTAGAAGAATGATCAGTGTCTACTTGAGAGAACTATTCAGTGCATCAGCATCTTTAGTAGAGGGAGCCAGCTTTCAGTTAAGACTTAGAAATGGAGAGATCATTTATTGAAAAGGTGGAAACATAATAGTTTGTTAACCATGTAAAAGGGGCTTAAGGGAGCTAATATTTTTTCTGAAAAGCTGATAAGTATTTGCAATAGCCTTCAGACTTAGGATCAACTTGATGCTAACATTTGAAGGGCATGTCAGTACTGCTAATAACCATAATATCAGCTCTGAAAATTTTCTTCCATATATTGTGGAGCCACTAAGGTTCATTGATTTAGAATTTAATGTTTTATTTCTGATTGGCAGTAATTTGTCTGTCAAGAAACTTTCCATGGACATTTATTTTACTTCAAAAGAAAGAGTTCTATTCTATGTCTCTGCCTATACCACCCCCTTCTTTTTTTTTCTTTAAATGCTCGGTGGTCTATAAAAAAATCTTAAAGAAATGATACATAAAATTCAAGTAACTATACAGAGGCGTATAAAAGAAGCCCCAAATGACAAGATAATTAACACTTACATTTTTCTACCCAGTGGTGTGCGTATGAGATATTTTTCCATTTTTTTTTTCCTTTTTGTCTGTAAGTCCTTGGAAGAACTATATAGGTCTTGAAAGAAATCAAACCTTGGACAATATCTAACGCGAATGTACCTTGAATGTACCTTGAGTGTACTCTGAGGCCTGAGCTGCCATTTTCTTAGATCGCAAATGCACAGAGGAATTATGTACACTACCACAAGCCTGAAATAATCAGCTAGTGTAGTGCAGTCATTAAGAATGTAGATTTTAGTGTCAGTTCAACAGAATGGATCAAATCGCCAATTACTTTTAGAGAGACCACTGACATAGTTCCTAATATTATAGGGATGGGATCATAACTAAGTGAAATAATGCATGAAAGTATTTCTTTCCTTAGCTGGTATATATGCAATAATTAGTACCTGGTCCTGTTGTTATAATCATCAGAGCAGCAGAAGCAGTAGCTAGCGTCTATCTAGTTACTCTCAGAAAGTCTTTTGCAGACCATTGAACCTTTGTCTAGAGTTTGTCAATTGGTGACGTCTGAAGATGCCACCTAATTTGGTATAAGAAATTAACTTTTGCTTCTTGGTAGTTATTTGTGAAACTGCTATGGTTTCTGAAAGGTATAATCGAAAACTTATGATTTTCTAATTCTTGGCTGGATGCTTTTGTAAAAAATCAGTCAGTTAGCTCAACTGTTCTCTAAGAATGGTAACGACTGCCTAGGATATCATTATCTAACAGGAGCATTGCTGTTAGGTAATTCTTACTGACAGGCTACTAAACCTTTAAGGTAGAAGTTATTTGGGAAATGTGAAGCAATTATCTCTTTTCCTTTAAGAATTGACAGTGAATTCTTGAGTTTTTCTGCTTTGAGTGAACTTTCTTATCTCTTCTACCTTTATTTCTTAGGTTATTGAACAATGGATCCTGGGTTTTAAACACCAGAGGTTTTGATTTTACCTCCATGATTTTTGATTTTGATTTTTATCTACCTCCATGATCCAACCTGGGCTATTGTGTCTTCAGTTCACTATAATATCAAGTCGCCAATTATTTTTAGAGAGACCACTGACATAGTTCCTAATATTATAGGGATGGGATCACAACTAAGTGAAATAATGCATGAAAGTATTTCTTTCCTTGGCTGGTATATATGCAATAATTAGTACAGTCTGTGTGGGGTTTAGAATTTCCTAAATATTCATTTTGCATATTCAATATGAGGAGATGTAGATTAGTATTCCAGCTCAACTCCTTGTTATCAGCATTAAGTCATTGAACTATTCATTTATTTAACAAATGTATGTTCAGCTTTTATTCTGCAATATACCTTGCTGGACCCTGAAGGTAAAATGGGATATTCCAGATTTTATTTAATTTTTAAAAATTGTTTTATTTAGTTGTAGATGGACACAATACCTTTGTTTTATTTATTTTATTTTTACGTAGTGCTGAGGATCAAACCCAGTGCCTCGCACATGCAAGGCAAGTGCTCTGCCACTGAA